TAATTTATAAGGAAAAAAACATAACCCACAAATAAGTAACCGCAACCGAAAACTAGGAACAAACCACAGAATACCCTCACAGGGTATAACAGGGCATGAAAACCTTGGGAGCAGGGCAATAGGACTCAGGAACATACGCAGGTAACAGGACTCGGGAACATAAACAGGTAACAGGACTCGGGAACATAAGCAGGTAACAGGACTCGGGAACATAAGCAGGTAACAGGACTCAGGAACATAAACAGATAACAGGACTCGGGAACATAAGCAGGTAACAGGACTCAAGACTGGGGACTCAGGATACACAGGAAACAATAACAGTATACTGAGCCCTCATCCTGACTGCAGGGAGGGTTTAAATACCCTCCCAGGAAGCACCAGGTGATGGCTAAGTGCTGGCAGCTGGGAGACACCCGCAGGTGAGCACTGGAGCTGTAGGTTCCAGCACCACCCAGTGGGGGTCTGGTACCTAACAGCTCCTGGCTGCCTGGAGACACCAGCAGGTGAGCACAGGAACTGCAGGGCTTAGCTCCAGCGCCACCTGGAGGCGCTCTGGATCCTAACAGTATCCATCCCAAAGCTCCTTGTCCATAAATAAAAAACCCACATCAACAGCAGTAATTAAAACATAAAAAATAAAAAGTGTTGGGGAAGCAGTGAACGAAAAGGATTCAGCGTCACATATGGGAGGTTGAATGAGTTGAGCAACTTGAATTTGATTTGCTCTGGCTGCAAAGTTTTACATAGAGTTACACCACAGTGCTTGTTTTATGTGTACTGTAATGCTTAGTATGAAAATGTAATTAGCTGATTGACCATTACCTACCAGAGATTTACTTTAAGCTAGGATACCAACAGTGGAAAAATGTAATTTGTATGCCAAGACCATTTTAACATACAAAGGCAAAAGTCAAAACTTTTTTTAGTTTTAGATAGACTTGAAAAAGTTAATATTTGTATTGCTCTTCATGACCCAGTTGTGGAGAAAAATCTCCTCAATAGGGACACAGACAAATAAATCTGACAAGGATTGTTTACTTTCTCCACCATGTATAAAACATTAAAAAAATCTTTCTAGGACTGTAGATGGCTTTAAATAATGTAGGGCAGGGGTGCCCATTAGGTAGATCGTGATCTACCAGTAGCTCTCAAAGCTGATGCTGGTAGATCACAAAGGGTGTGAATGGTGGCCCCTTTATTCCATTTTGGTATATTTTATTTAGCGGTGCACACATGATTACCTATTAGCCTGAGTCTGCTGAGCCAAGCTCCCTGACACCTTTCTGGTGGATACTGGTGGTTGAAGTGCTATGTATTACATCAAAGAATATTAGTTTACACATCCTGTTGCCAAATACAGCAAGGTGAGCCAGCAGAGAGAGTGGGGAGAGACAGACAGGAGAGAGAGAGGAAAGACAGCCAGGGGAGAGAGAGAAAGGAGAGACAGCCAGGAAAGAGAGAGCAAGGAGAGACAGCCAAGATGGCAAAGAGAGACAGCCAGGAGGAAAAACGAGGAATAACAGCCAGGAGAGAGAGAGAGCATGGAAAGACAGCCAGGAGGATGAGCAAGGAGAGACAGCCAGGAGGATGAGCGAGGAGAGACAGCCAGGAGAGAGAGTGAGGGAATTTTTTTTTTCATTGGTAGATCTCATGTAGTTCGTCATCTGAAAAGTAGATCTTAACACAAAAATTGTGGGCACCCCTGGTGTAGGGACTGTTTTTTTACATGATTCCATACACTACAACCAAGGGAAAAAACTGTAGAACAAAACAAGGCATTGTTTATCCTCCTTAATACTGCCTTTGCCAAATAGAGGGCCAGAAATGTTTGCACCTCCAGGTCACCTATGTTTTACTTCCACATATTACGGATCCATCAAGTTCAACGTGTGTGTGTGTGTGTGTGTCTCAGTGTGTTCCAGTGATTAAGAGTACCTGTACTGCTGTATGTTCTGTTCTCTGAGGAAAGTATCTATTTAATATAATCTAATTCTTGAATGATTCTATACTCTCTACTGATACCACTGCTTGTGCAAGGTAGTTCCACAACTTTACCGCTTTAACAGAAAAGAATCCCCTTTGCCCTTTGTGGTTAAACTTTTTTCTCTCCAATTTTAGGTGGTGGCCTCTCCTCTCCTCACTGATTTTGAAGTAAAAAGTTTATTACTGATGTTACCATCAGCATTAAGCATTTTGTACAATAAAATCATGCCCACTCTTATTCGCCTCATTTCCAGAACGAACAAGTTTAATTTTTGCAATATTTGTTCGTAGCTTAGGTCCTCCAGTCCCTTTATCAGTTTTTTGCCCTTCTCTGCACTCTATCCAGTTCAAGGACACCCCACTTCTCCTCAGTGTTCATTGTTAGAAATAATTTGTCCCATTTGGTATATATTAAGTAAGTAACCCAGCTCATCAGAGTTTGCCTTTTTGAAGTTTACAGGGTTATTCACTAAAGAGCCGAAGGATATAGCCATAGCTATTCACAATAGCCTGTACAGCAGCTGAAGGCAGCCGAACAGCCGAACACCCTTTAGGTCACAGGGGTGCCCATTAGGTAGATCGTGATCTACCAGTAGCTCTCAAAGCTGATGCTGGTAGATCACAAAGGGTGTGAATGGTGGCCCCTTTATTCCATTTTGGTATATTTTATTTAGCGGTGCACACATGATTACCTATTAGCCTGAGTCTGCTGAGCCAAGCTCCCTGACACCTTTCTGGTGGATACTGGTGGTTGAAGTGCTATGTATTACATCAAAGAATATTAGTTTACACATCCTGTTGCCAAATACAGCAAGGTGAGCCAGCAGAGAGAGTGGGGAGAGACAGACAGGAGAGAGAGAGGAAAGACAGCCAGGGGAGAGAGAGAAAGGAGAGACAGCCAGGAAAGAGAGAGCAAGGAGAGACAGCCAAGATGGCAAAGAGAGACAGCCAGGAGGAAAAACGAGGAATAACAGCCAGGAGAGAGAGAGAGCATGGAAAGACAGCCAGGAGGATGAGCAAGGAGAGACAGCCAGGAGGATGAGCGAGGAGAGACAGCCAGGAGAGAGAGTGAGGGAATTTTTTTTTTCATTGGTAGATCTCATGTAGTTCGTCATCTGAAAAGTAGATCTTAACACAAAAATTGTGGGCACCCCTGGTGTAGGGACTGTTTTTTTACATGATTCCATACACTACAACCAAGGGAAAAAACTGTAGAACAAAACAAGGCATTGTTTATCCTCCTTAATACTGCCTTTGCCAAATAGAGGGCCAGAAATGTTTGCACCTCCAGGTCACCTATGTTTTACTTCCACATATTACGGATCCATCAAGTTCAACGTGTGTGTGTGTGTGT